CCTGACCGTCTCTCTCTCTCTCTCTTTCTCTCTCTCTCTCTCTCCCTCACGAACGGGACACCGTTGCGCGCCGCGACTCGCTGCACTCGCATCGCCCGATGCACTCGGGAGAGCGCACCTGCCTCCATTCGCATGATAATAACGACGGCGATAATTGGCCGCCTTCCCTGCGCGCTCCACGTGTCAACTGCGAGAGAAAGAGAGAGAGAAAGACCGCCGGGTAAGACGCCCGTCGCGTTTTACTTCGCGATTGACGAGTTCAACGATGCGGTGACCTGCTCCACTTTGTCAAAACTTCGCAAAAATTGAATCTTCAAATTGGAGCATCATAAATGTGTGTTAAGCCTTTCGCTACCAATGGGACATGGGTTTTCCTCACCATTAATAGTCGCTTTATACAATTGAATAAACAGCTTTTTTGGCGTTCAGAACATATCAACTACCACTCCTACTCATTACCTATATTTATTACCTCTAATAATTAGTTTATTATATTAAATGTGTCCTCCCAAAAACCCAAGTGGGACATCAATGTCTCAGTCTCTATCTTTTTGGCGTCGAACATAAAGCTTTCAATTTTTTTCCTTGCTAAGACTATTATATTATATTAATATATTTAGTGAAGTGAAAGTAAAAAGAACCGCGTCTTTAAAGAACAAAAAATTGGTAGCGAAAGGGTAAGTATACATTTTGGAGATAATTGGAGGCCGCGTCCGGTCGTGCAGCACAACGCAACTCGTGTACACTTGTGTACACTTTTCATAGGAATATATTTCGTGTATTAATTTACGACGTATAATAAATCCAATTACCGCCATTGCTATTAATTGAGATATATTAGATGCGAGGACAATCAGCGGTACGGTTAGGTCAGGGTCGCCGGAGGCGGCGGGCTCATGGTTATTCTCGTTTTACCGTGTAGAAGCCTACGCGCCGAATCTGAAGCGGAGGTGCGGCTGACCGGCGTTTCGGAAGTTAATTCGTCGGGCTCGTACTTTACGATCCATTTCGCTAAATAATCGACGCGCCGTTTTTTTCACGAGAAACAACAGCGCGCGCAGTGCCCGACGAGTGGCAGCAACGCCGCTGGCTACCTGCCAAGTTCTACCCCCTCTCCCTGTCCTCCTCTTTTCTCTCTCTCTCTCTCTCTCTCTCTCTCTCTCTCTCTTTCTTTCTCTCTCTTCTGTTCCTCGTGGCTATCCTTCTTCGGCAGCCGCTCGTTTCTGAATGAACAATAGAAAATGTCTGCTACGCGCTGCGCCGGCGCTGCGCGTCGTTAATGAATACCTTGAATCGGTCTGGCCTCGAGCACGCCGGCTGTTTACCGAGTGTGTACACGCGGACGGACCGTGGTCAAGTAGAAATAAGCCCCGCGATCTCCTCCCGCGACGAGAACGGCGGCGGCGGGTAACGTTCGTCCTGATACGTTTCCGGGGGAAACGGCAGCAGGAAATTGTAACGCCGCCGATACGCCGTCGTGTAGCGTGCGAGACGCGAAGCCACTACCTTCCCTCGATCGGCGAACGTGAACGTAGATCAAGAGAAGAGAATACGGTCTGTTTTGTAAAGGCCTGTCGCGGTTGTTTGGTGCGGCTGCCAAGTTTGAATTGTTTAAAGGATCTCGTCGTTTGAATGAGTCACTCTGAGAACAAAATATTTACTATATTTGTAACTCGCGTATTCTTGTCCATTTCTCAGCGCATCGCTTTACGCGTCGTTCTATCTGTCTCGCGAATTTTCCTTTATTTATTTATTCTTCTTGTACATTGCCATTGTGCGCGGTGTTGTTCACCTGAGCGATTGTTATCGATCGATTAGGGCAGCAATGTCCGTTTCTTTCGAAGTGTGATCTTGCGGCACGGGTTCGTGAACGATCGTCGGATCAACGTCTGATACCACCGCGCTATTTGGAGCAGCTCAGGGAACACGGTGCGCTCAGAATCGAACGCATGTGTGTGTGCGTGTGTGTGTGTGCGCGCGTAGCCCTCGAGCTTATCCGCTTGTAGCGTGCGAAGATCGGCGTTTTCGGAACTCGTAACAGCATCACCTGGGAAGATAGCCCGGTAAACTGCCTCTCTCTTTTATACATATATACATATGCATACACACACATATATATGCATGTATATATGCATACAACTCTCTCTCTCTTTCTCTCCTTCTCGACTCCCGTTTCGCCGACAGCGAAACGCCACTTCCCTTCTGGGAAGAAGCTGGTCTGGCTCCCTCCTTAAGTATCCTCGGGCACGCCATCGGCGAAAACCTTCGTCCTTTTGTTCCCGGGTCTTTCTTTTCTCGCTCCTTCGGTCGCTCGCTCGCTCGCTTCTTCTTCCTTCTCAGCGTATACACGGAGAGCGCGAGCGCGCGCACAGTGGCGTAACCGAAGTGTTTCCTTCCGCAGGCGGCGAGTGAATCGGAGGAGCGTTATCGGATGACAGAGGAGGCGTCGATAACGTGAGGTGTCCTCGTGTTACGGAATTTCCTCGAGCCTCCGCGACGTGCAGATTATAACGACGGCATTTTCATGACAGTGCCGCGCTATCTAAAGTCGTTCATCGCCGACAAGTCCGCGCTAATTTCATTTTCCTCAGGGTTCACCTTCGTATGAGACAGCTTGCAGTTTTGCCCAGCTTAACAATAGAATGTCCGGGAATTACAATCCCCTTTGAATGAAAATGTCACGCTGATATCTTGCGATTCTTATATCTTAAAACTCTCTCTCTATTCCTGATTGCTCGTATTAATAACTTCTGAACATTTTAAGAGTATAACTTGAAAACGCAAGATATTTTTTCTCTAAACTACGAGGAACAGAAATAACGACAACAAGAAGATCCTAAAGGAGTCAAGATGACTTCATGAAGCATTCTAGTTAAGTTCCTCATAGCGATGATTCCAACATGTCAACTATGAAGAGAGGAAAAAGACTTGTGTTTTATCAGTAGGAACACGAAAGTACCCCTCCCCGTCAGCTATTGTAGCAGAAGTGGCCTGATTCGCGCGTTCCAATCGCGTCAAGAATAATAGCCCCAAAATGCAATCGGTCGTAACTCCCCCGTGCGACGAAAGATACACACGGACCGTGGGAAGTCGCAGTGAAGTCGCGCGTTGTTCATGGTTCGAGTTATCATCGGCCTCGCGCCGCCGTCTCGTCGCTGATAACCTTCGGACGCGTGATAGTCGTCCTCGTCGTCATCGACAATCGATCGTTCGTCGTCGTCGTGTGTGTATCGGACGGTGGAGAGAGCCGCGCGTCTCGTCACAGCTACGCTACTGACCTTACCGCACGCAACAGATCGCGATGGACCGGGCCTGAACCGGGCCTGGACCGCGCGCGGGCTTGGGTACGCTACCGGTTCGACGTGCGGACACGCGCGTGCACCGAAAACCGGTGCCGTGAGATGCAGGTTTCCTTCGGTAGGGCACCTGATCGCGCACAGCCCCGAATCCTAATCTGCCGGGCTATTACGATAATGCGACCCGGTATAGGAAGGTGTATAGTTCCTTCGCTCGCTCGTCCGTTCGTTTACACGAAAACCAGTAGACACCGGACGAAAGGATGAGCCAGCCAAGACGAAAAGGGGCAGAGGGAGAGAGGGAGAGAGGAGGAAGGACGCCTCTTTCCCAGAGCCGCAACGTGGTTATACGCTTACTCTCTTTGTGCCGGATGCGTGCCGCCGACAGAGTAGCAATAGCGGACGAACGTCCGGTCTACCCTCTCGCTCTCTGTCTCTCTCTCTCTCTCTCTCTCTCTCTCTCTCTCTCTCTCT